AAATTCCATTGCTTTTCAACCTAACTCCGTATTTATTTTTTTCTTAAAAAGGAATTCCATATGGTGTAATGAATTTTAACTCCAAGAAAGCTTATTTAACCTGCAGTCAGGCTTTTGTTGGAGTTGCTCTATTTCAGTACAGTTTACAAAGCTGGTTTCTGTGCATTCTAAGCCATGGCTTGTTTAACTATAGTTTTATGGAATGAATCACAACTGGTTGGCTTCATGCAACATACATTACACACTATGGTTTACAAGTTGAAATGGCTGAATTGCTACAACATGCAAAGCCAAAATGATGAACTGATTTGTGGAACTAACCACTGAGTCAAAAGGTTTAGTCCTGTGTACTTTCTGCTTCCCTTGCAGCACTGTTCGGAAGCAGGCACATGTGCAGAGACAAGACTGGTGGATTCTGTTAACCAGAGAGATTCCTACTATTACATTTTAAAATCTTCATTAAACATCTTCAAAGTTTAAGCTTTCTGTGGTTAGTGAAGGACTTTGAAAACATGGCTCCATCTTCAAAGGGTTTTCTTCCCTTGATAATGAAGTTTGGATAGTTTGGGCTTAGTCATCAACAAGGGTGTTTTCCCATCTCTTGGAAATAACAGTACTAAAAGTAGATATATTTAACCCTACTATTTCCAGTTTTCAGATAGGAATTATGGATCTCTATGATTCTCTGTAGCCACACTAAACTCTAATTTCATTTGCAAGTTTATGGAAGAGAAGGCATGACAGTTATGTTGTTACAGAACAAACCAAGGTTGGTAGCAAAGGTATCATTCAAGGCTGCAAGGCTTATACCCACTTTTCTCATCTCTCAGTGGGACTTCCAATAGACTACTTGTTTTTATTTATGAACTGTCCCAAACTGACTTTTCACTGCTAAAGCAATCCCATAATGGGACATAATAAATTATAACTTTTACAATAAAAGAAAGGTCCTGAATATTTGGGGCTTGTGAACATTTTGAGTGTATGTTTTGGACACTAAAAAAAAATGTCTGCCATTGGAAGGCATTGACAAATCACAAAATGGCAGCTACAGTGGGCGTGTCTAGTTGCAAAATGTCAGTTAATCAGAAGCAAACTAGGGGTGGCTCCCTATCACATCTCTGTAACATTTTAGGATACTCACCATTCATCCCCAACTTATCTTTATCTGATTTAAAGGAGCAGTCATTTAAGTGGTCAAAACTTGGAAATGACAGCCAGTTTGCTATAATCCAAAATTAAGTGTAGCCTTCTTAATCCCTTGAAAACTCCAGTTTTTATAAAGACTAATCAGAATGTCAGGGGCATATTTTTGAGTTCTTTCAGAAGCTTTTTCAGACTGGAGGTTAAGCAGAACAAGTGAAAAGAATGTAGAATATGCTATTCGTAACTCCCAGTTTTTAATGAAGTTCCTGAGCCAGACTGTGTATCTTAACCTATTACAGAGACATTGGCAACCACTTTCCCTACAGATACAGGCAATCTGGCACTCTCCAGATGTTTTGGAGTACAATATCCGTTGTCTCTCTCAATTTGGCCGATAGGCAGACATACACAAATTATAATCTGAAACATTTAGAAGATATCAAAGTGTGTATTCCTGCAGATTCCTGGAGCCTTTTTCCCTGACCGCCAATGATGTGCTTTCCACCATCACTTTGAGAAACCACTGCCCACTTACCCAACCCCATGTTCTTGCCATGCTTCCAAAATGAGACAACCAAATTTGCTGCCCTCACACGACAGTGGAGATGGCTTTGGGAGGAGCATGGAGAGAAGGGTAGGTGTAGGGAAGAAGGAAGAGCAAAGGACCCCTGTCTTCCTAGCTTTTCTTTCAACTTGCCGGCTTTTCTTCCTTTCTTGCAGGCTTCCATAGCTCCTGGAGAGGAGAAATGCCAAGCAGTGGAGATTACAGATAGGAATAGCAACCTAGTAGAAGACTTTCCAGAAGGTACTATTCCTACTTGAGCCTAAAAAGAAAGGAAATATGACTTTGGTTGCTAGAGACTTTCTGTTCCCTCCAGGAGCCAACGCAGAATTGGGATGGAAGCACAGAGTCCTGTGGCCAAATGGAAGGAAGCAATCCTGCAGTATGCCAAATGGCACCACGTAGATGGCCAACCTCAGTCAGGCTCCTCCTTCTTGTGGATCAGAATGTTTGCATAGGAAGTTGTATTGCGTTTTCCAATGAAAAAATACCACTGGCACTGAGAGGGAGACTCTGTTATGAGGATTTGTCTTCAACAAATAGTTAGCAGGCTGTCCCAGTGCTAGGGAAAGACAAGCACGTGGATAAAGCCTGGAAAATGGGTAAAATCAACATAATAAACCACCATGGGACTAACAGTTATGCAAATAGATTCCTGAAGCAAGCAAATGGGAGTTCCTCTGAATGGCTCTATAAATCAGTCTTGATCATTTCTACTGCTAGTAACTGAGTTTGTGCATTGGTTGAAGGAAAGCCTTCTTTAAAGTATCTTCTTTCTGTTCAGTCTTTTGGAACTGCCATACATTTGGGCTTATTTCAATATTACTGTTATGCCTGTGATGCAACAAGCAACCGGCCAAGAACATTGATTTTTCTTAAAAATATCATTTTACATCTGTTTTGGCCAGAAGCTCCTTTTAAGTTACTTTGCAGGGGAGGGAGATTCATGTAGAAAATAAAACAGAAAACTGAGCATTCAAGAATATGTTGCATTTATTGTTTTACCATCATCTATTTTGCTAAGAAATAACTGCAAGGCCTAGCAAGTTAACAAAGGAAGGCAAGACTCTGAAAGTTGCTTGTCTTCCCATTTTATGCCCCTGCAGCCCTATAGCTTTGCCTTTTTTCATATCCCTTTCTATTCTTAAACCATGATTAAGACAAGGAAGGAATTCCAGCTTTTAATTTGTAACTTCCTGGAGATGACTTTCACACGGAAAGATGGGGCATTAATGTAAGGAAAAAATAAAAAATAAACCTTCACTTCCTTCTCCAGTTTTAATAAGCTTCCCGAGTCCTGCTGTTAAATAATTCTACTCTATTGCAAAGCATACAATGCCATCCTTTTCTTTCAATTACTTCCCTGACAAATTATACTTCTCTATATAGACCTTGTCCTAATAAAATGATATGCTCAGCCTAGAAAAGCTTTCCTCATCCTGGGATCTCCAGATGCCTTAGACTCCAGTTTCTGTGGCTCAGCTGGCTGCAGTGAAGGGAGTCATTACCAACACAACTAGAAATATTGCCTATAATTTGTTAAATTAGCCTCATTACTGTTACCCCACTACTCTTCCCCACTCCTCCATTAAGAGTTTGCACATCACAGTAAAATGTGCTTTCTCTAACCACGGTGATGAATAAACCACAATTATCTGGGTTTACCCAATTTACTAAGTGTGTTAGCCCAAAACCCTTTACCGTTTTCGATGCCGTATGAACCCTATCTAATGAAACAGTATGGTGAGCGGAAATGTGACTGACTAGCTGGTGGCTCAGCATTTAATCCAAGTAATTCAGTGAACTATAGGTTGCTCTGCACCTACTTTTTTATTATCTTCTACTAGTCTCCCTACCCAACATCTTCTATATCTATTGGATCTAGATCTGGAGACCTTAGGTTGGGAAAAGCTGCCGTGCCCTTTTCATCTTTTGGATTTCCAAACATTCTTCACTGAATCTGTTTCTGGCCTTGGCTTGTTTTTCCATGCTGGATATGCTGGTGGGTCCTTCATATTCTCTAGGAAGGAAGAGTCACCACTCTCTCTTGGCAAGTAGGTTGCAGGAAAGGCAGAAAAGGGAGGAAAAAACCACAGCCTCCCATCTCCCTAATGGAAAAGGAGTTGCATTAAGCCCATTAACATCAGCCAAATGGTGGCCATCAATTTTTAATCAGAAATATGGAAAGCAAGCCCCAGGAGCAAGTAAATTTAAATAACACTCACAGGGAAATCCAATCACTTAAGTATAGGAACTCAACTCGAGCGAAGGGGAGCGAGCGTTGACGAAAGGAGAAGACGACAGCTGTATTAATAAAGATTAAAGGGCTGCAGAGAGCAAGCTGATCGGCTCCATTAACCCCTTGCCCGGCCGCCTTTGGCTACGCAGACATCCGCGCGCAACATGTCCGCGTTTCCCGCCTCGCCGCCTGCTCTTGCAAGCAAGACTTGTTCAGCCTCGCTGCGCCCGAGAGCTGGGCTGCGGGACTAAGGGCGATCCCTCCGAAAGCGAGGCGGCGGCGGCGGGGGTCGTCCTGCAGCGGCCAACGCACCCCTCCCTTTCCTCTTCCTAGGCTTAGAGTTGCGCGCCCGAGAGGCGAGTTTGCAAAGAGCCCGGAGGTGGCGGCGGGGAGCGAGCGCGGAGCCGGCGGGCTATGGTGGCGGGCCGCAGCGAGCGCAGCCCT